TGCAGAAGCGGCGAATCATGACCCGCGCATGCGCAGACGCGCGGACACGTGTTGCGTTCACTTCTGGATGCAAATGGGGCTCCGGAACAGATCCCATTCGCATCCAGAGGTACCACTGTATTTCAAAGAGGGCCAGATTTGATGAAGTGAAGGGCTATGAGGGCCGACCAAACGGCCAACCAAAGCTGTTGTTGAGCTCTTTTAGGATTTTACCCCAGGAAATAAACTGCCCCAGAAGCCAGATTGAACCAACCATCGGGCCGGATTAGGCCCCCGAAACGGATTTTGTGCCCTGCCGTGGACCTCACGGCCCTTCATCAAATCTGGCCCTTTCAAAAATGTTTGAACACCACTGAAGGGTTAATGTCAAAAAGTTCAAGAGAAGCAGGACTCCATGGCACCCTAAGATACCCTCCTTAGCACCCACCCTTTTCCAACTATAGCTCCCAGATTCTTTGGGGGAAGAAGCCATGAGTGTTTAAAGCGGCTTCATAGCGCGTTACATGGTGTGGATGTGGCCCTGGCCTCCCTCACCCCACTGCCTCTTATTAATGAAGAATCAAAAGGATTTCCCCATTCAAATCTCTCAGAAACAGGAAACAGGAAGAAGACAGACTTTGTAGCTCAAGCCATTTTGAAATTTCTTAACTTGAAATGCCAATAAAGATATTTGTATTGTATTTTATTGTTTTGTTTTGTATTGTATTCTGATTAACATGGGAAGTGGAATGGTAAAATGTTAATGAGGTATACGTAATACTTCTGTAAACTGGTATGCCCCTTCTTGTGGGTGTGGAAGGAGGGACTTGCGGCCGGACAAGCAACTTTATAAGATGTGTTTTTCCTGAAGAAGATGTGCCTGATCTTGTGTTACCCCACTTGGAAGTGTGTATAATAAAAAGCTTTTCTAATTGACCCATTTTGTCCAGATCACTTTATTTAAAAATGATCCAGAGACCTTAATTCAAAGGAACCAGTTTGTTTATCTCTCACAAAGGGAAAAATAATTAAATAAATAATACCAATCCCTCAACTGCCAAAACAAACGGTTTTGCAGCACTGTAAAAACTAACAGATTTTGGGGAAACTTTTTAAAAATGGGAGGGTCAGGGGGCCTTGGTGGGTGCTAAGAAGGGTATCTTAGGGTGCCATGGAGTCCACATGCCACACGTGTCACAAGGGGGGGGCTCCTCAGTTACCTTTTGTTTATTTATAAATGCGCCCCCCCTTGAGGCCTAGTTTCCCCAGCCCTGTCTATGGATGGTCTCCTGTGATGCCACAAACAGACATAGGAGCTGAGGGGAAAGAGGCAGTTTCTTATTCTAGAATTTCAAACACAGGAGGGCAGGAGGGGACATTTTCCAGCCCGGAATACTTGAAATGAGGGGGAGCTCGGCTGCACACCCACCTCCCTTCATTTGGGGTGGTCTCTCTCCCTCCTCCACCTGCCCAGCAGCTTCCCTGCCTGCTATCTCCCCCTCCATCATCGCACTGGCATTGCATCCTCACCCCAGTCCCCCCCTCCAAAAAGCTTGTTGCACCCCAAGGCATTTGGCACTCACCAAAGGGAAGTTGCAGGGAAAGGGGCAGGGCACAATGGGAAGGGGCGGGGTGACTGGGCTATATAAACCACGCCCCTTTTCTAACAGAAGCAACATGGGGGGCCCTCCGAGAGAGAACAACAACAGAACACAGAACGAAGAAGACGGAAGTGGCGCACAGTTCCTTCTGTTCCCTCGCTTCCAAAGAATGGAATGTCAACACACAGAGCATGTGATCCAGTAGTCCCACACACTCTGCAGCACGGGAGAGAATGAAACTCCCGACATCCAGCACCCCCTTCTCTGCTACTCTTGAACTCTTTGACTGTAACCCTGTACAATCTTTTTTCAAAGAGGGCCAGATTTGATGAAGTGAAGGGCCGTGAGGGCCGCCGAAACAGCCAACCCAAGTTGTTAACCTTTTTCTAGGGTTGAATTTGTTGAGGGTTTTTTTTTTAGGATTTTACCCCACGAAATAAATAAACTGCCACAGGGGCCGGATTAAACTGACCGGTGGGCTGGATTAGGCCCCCCAAATGGACTTTGGACATGCCTGATAAGCGCACAAACAAGATGTAGCGTGTGCACCATTTCATGTTTTACTGGAAAACGTTAGGTGACTGTTAACTGGTAGGCAGGGCCTTGGGGGCAAACCCCCCCTTGAATCTGACTTATGACTTCAGCAGTGAGACTACAGAGTGACAGTGTCATCATAATTTCACCATGGCAACCAACTGCTTCATTTCCACTTACTTGAAAGAGAGGTCATTGAGTATTTATTTTATTTATTTATTTTTGTATGAAATATTTATTAAGTTTTCCATAACTGAACACGTGGCCACTTTCTTTCCCTTGGAAATTGACTTGATGATCCACAGTTACCAAGCATCTAAGAATATAGAAAAGAGCATCCTGATCAGAGGTCAAGTGGGAACCTTGGCACCTCTTACTTAAGCTTTCAAGAAATATGTCTTCTTATGTCACAGATGGGTGATAGCAACCTCAATGAGCCTCCCCACGTAATGTCAACTCTCCAAGCATCCATATAAATGCTGCCTCTCAGAAATAAAGATCTGCTCATGATCAGATCTCAAAACACAATTCCCTTCTTTTCTCTTCTATTTATTCTGGAGTAAGTCACAACTAAGCCCACTAAAGTTAATGACGCTTGACCAAGCGCTTATCAGGCATGTCCAAAGTCCGTTTTGGGGGCCTAATCCAGCCCACTGGTCAGTTTAATCCGGCCCCTGTGGCAGTTTATTTATTTCCTGGGGTAAAATCCTAAAAAAAAAAAAAAAACCCTCAACAAATTCAACCCTAAAAAAACCTACCCCTACCACTACCCCTATCCTACCCCTAATCCTAACCTTGCAGTTTTTGCACAGGTCGGTTTAATCCGGCCGCTGTGGCAGTTTATTTACAGTACTGGGACTTCCAAGAGAGATCCTTGCAGCACTGCTGCACCCATGTCTACTTGGAAGTAAGTCCTACTGAATTCAGTGGGGCTTCCTCCCATGTAGGTGGGATTGTAGCCTTTGCCATTTTTTGAGAGAGCTGCCTGTGGTGCCAAGTAATTAAAAATAAGAATAAATGACTAAAACAATATCCTTGTGTCTGAATAGCAAGCTCGTGGCTGCTTAGGCTTCTGCCAATGTAGCGGTCCTCTTCTGATCTCCCTACAGTGAAAGGCACACCAGCCAGTGAGCGCTTGGCAGGCAGGGCAGAGGAGTCAGACCCTTAAGTCAGGGACACTGAGAACTTCAAATGTTTTTGTTCCTTCCTCGGAAAGGGAGAAATGGCTACCAAATAAAAATAAATTGGAAAAAACATACTCAAAGAAACTGCAAGTATATATTTCAGATAAGAGATGCAGAAAAATAGAAAAATGACACAGTGCTGAAATGGTTTCAAAATTTCTGTTTTTGGAGTGCATTATGTGACTTTCTGAAACTTGCAGCATTTCTTGGAGTGCTACATTAAAAGTATTCTCTTGGAAGTCTTCCTTTGTAACATAAGAAAGCTGACTGGATCAGGCCAGTGGCCCAGGTTCAGCATCCCATTCTCACAGATGCCTGTGCAAAAACTGCAAGCAGAATCTGACCACAACAGCCCTCGTGATTCTCAGGAACTGATATGCAGAAATATGCCGCCTCTGAACCTGGAGGTAGTATGTATCCATCACACAAGTTGGGCATGAGCACAATAGTGCTCATTTCAATGCAGCCACTACATATGACTCCTCCACAGTATGTTAAAATTGTTACTAAAATCACCCCCCCCCCTTACTGTACCTAAAGCAAATTTGTGGAGGTGACCACAACAGCCCTCGTGATTCTCAGGAACTCATATGCAGAAATATGCCGCCTCTGAACCTGGAGGTAGTATGTATCCATCACTTGACACATCGCTGAGTTCACATGGCATCCACCTGGCTCCCCCTGCCCCCGAGAATCTGGGAGCCATAGTTTGGGTCATTGGGTTTGGTGCTTTTGTAACTGGATTTAGAATGTTTTTTAGTCAAATACAGTAAATGATTGATTGATTGACTGATGAAAAGGTGTTTTTTTCCTGAGATGCTAACTTTCTCTCTGCATGTCATTCCTTCAACAGCTTCCTGTGCAAAGATAGGGCTTGCTTTCATTGCACTGTTCATTTGTGTGTTGGACTAGTGTTGTGTGGAGGGAAATGTAACTACTGGGCTGAAAAATGTCCCCCTCCTGCCCCTTTGGGTTTCCGGTGTGGCCTTCACAGATATTGGCACAACTTATGTGTGTGTGTGTGTGTGTTTTGGCTGCTGAGCTGCACTCACCATTGTGAGGGCTGAGGGAGTGATGGTGATGCCTCCCCAGCTGCTGCCATTGTCCGTGGGTTGCTTGTGATGTGACAAAAACATTTGGCTGCTGAGCGGATATAAATGTGGGCCAAGGCGCAAGCCTCAGCAGTTGCCCTCCGCAGAGAGAAATGGGCAGCTCGGTGGCACTCAGCCCAGGTGGTCTCCTGTCCCATGGCGGCAAGCTGGCAAGCGGAAGGAGGCAATTGCCCGGTGCTGGGATGCTGTGGCCCTGGTGGTCTCCTGCCCTGTGGTGGCAAGCTGGCAAGCGGAAGGAGGCAATGGCCTGGCTCTGGGATGATGTGGAGCAAGGAGAAGGCAAGTACAAAGATTACTTGCTGGTGGGATCACTACTTGAAGGTGACTGACACTCAGCTCTGAAGCTGGTTGATGTCTGGCAATGGACCTGATGAGGCTGCAGCTGGTGGATGGTTGTCTGAAGAATTTGCATTCAGGCTAGTGGATGCCGTGAGGCTACGCTGGCTGAGATGGGTGCAAACTGGTTTGGAAGCCTTGTTTGTGAACAGGCAGCCAAACAGAGGAGGAATCTGGGGGGACGCTGTCGGGTGTGAGCCATCCCACTCACCTGTTTGCCTTTGCCTTACAGGGATGTCTGGAGCCGGTGAGGTTTTGCCCAAGTCCAGTCTTAGAAGTCATCAAGAGAACCGCAGGACATCCCTATTGACATCGGAGAAGTTAACGTGAAATACTGGCAGTGAGGAATGGACAAGGCCGTGGCCATACTTGAGAGAAGGAGCTTTGAAGGGAGACTGCAGGCGGACATCTGCTGCACTGCAAGGGATGGGGCAGTGGGGAGAGAGAAGAAAATGAGGGAGGCAACATTAGGCCACATTAGGTGCACCATTGGAAGTGCTATGAATACGCTTTAAACAGGCATGGCTTCCCCTCAGGGATTCTGGGAACTGTAGGTGGTTAAGGGGACGGAGACTTGTTACGGTGTTAAGTATTAGGATTAGGATTAGGGGTAGGGGTGGGGGTAGGGTTCCCTTCTAGTAGCTCTAGTTAAGGGTTAGAGTTAGGGTTAGGGTTAGCGTCAGGGGCAGGGGCAGGGGTAGGGTTGGGGTTCCCTTGTTAGGGAACTCTGGGAATTGTAGCTCTAGTTAGGGGGCAGGGTTAGGGTTAGGGTTCCCTTTTTGCCAGGGAACTCTGGGAATTGTAGCTCTAGTTAGGGGGCAGGGTTAGGGTTAGGGTTCCCTTTTTGCCAGGGAACTCTGGGAATTCTAGCTGTAGTTAGGGGGCAGGGTTAAGGTTAGGGTTCCCTTTTTGCCAGGGAACTCTGGGAATTGTAGCTGTAGTTAGGGGGCAGGGTTAGGGTTCCCTTCTTGCCAGGGAACTCTGGGAATTGTAGCTCTAGTTAAGGCTCAAGGGTTAGCGTTAGGGTTAGCGTCAGGGGTGGGGGTAGGGGTAGAGGTAGGGTTCCCTTCTTGGCAGGGAACGGGGTCCCCTAACAACTCTTGGCACCCTTTTCCAACTATAGCTCCCAGAGTCTTTGGGGGTGTTTAAGCCATGAGTGTTTAAAGCGGCTTCATAGCGCGTTAAATAGTGTGGATGTGGCCGTGGCCTCCCTCACCCCACTGCCTCTTATTAATGAAGAATCAAAAGGATTTCCCAATTCAAATCTCTCAGAAACAGGAAACAGAAAGAAGAAAGACTTTGTATCTCAAGCCACTTTGCCTTATAGGGATGTCAGGAGCCGGTGAGGTTTTCCCCATATCCAGTCTTAAAAGTCATCAAGAGAACCGCAGGGCATCCTTATTTACATCGGAGAAGTTAACGTGAAATACTTGCAGCGAGGAATGGACAAGGCTGTGGCCATACTTGAGAGAAGGAGCTTTGAAGGGAGACTGCAGGCGGACATCTGCTGCATTGCAAGTGATGGGGCAGTGGGGAGAGAGAAGAAAATGAGGGAGGCAACATTAGGCCACATTAGGTGCACCACTGAACTGCTATGAAGTCACTTTAAACAGGCATGGCTTCCCCTCAGGGATTCTGGGAACTGTAGGTGGTTAAGGGCACGGAGACTTGTTACGGTGTTAAGTATTAGGATTAGGATTAGGGGTAGGATTAGGGGTAGGGGTGGGGGTAGGGTTCCCTTCTTGTAGCTCTAGTTAAGGGTTAAGGGTTAGAGTTAGGGTTAGCGTCAGGGGCAGGGGTAGGGTTGGGGTTCACTTGTTAGGGAACTCTGGGAATTGTAGCTCTAGTTAGGGGGCAGGGTTAGGGTTAGGGTTCCCTTTTTGCCAGGGAACTCTGGGAATTGTAGCTGTAGTTAGGGGCAGGGTTAGGGTTCCCTTCTTGCCAGGGAACTCTGGGAATTGTAGCTCTAGTTAAGGCTTAAGGGTTAGCATTAGGGTTAGAGCCAGGGGTGGGGGTGGGGGTAGGGGTAGCGGTAGAGGTAGAGGTAGGGTTCCCTTCTTGGCAGGGAACGGGGTCCCCTAACAACTCTTGGCACCCTTTTCCAACTATAGCTCCCAGAGTCTTTGGGGGTGTTTAAGCCATGAGTGTTTAAAGCGGCTTCATAGCGCGTTAAATGGTGTGGATGTGGCCCTGCCCTCCCTCACCCCACTGCCTCTTATTAATGAAGAATCAAAAGGATTTCCCAATTCAAATCTCTCAGAAACAGGAAAGAGAAAGAAGAAAGACTTTGTATCTCAAGCCATTTTGGAAGGTCTTAACTTGAAATGCCAATAAAGATATTTTTATTGTATTGTGTTGTATAGTGTTGTGATTAACATGGGAAGTAGGGTGGTATAGTAGGCATTTTGCACTCACCTGAACGCTTGCAGGGAAAGGGGCAAGGCACAATGGGAAGGGGCGGGGCAACCAGGCTGCTTAAACCATGCACCTTTCCAACAGAAGTGGCATGGGTGGGCCCTCCGAGAGAGAAGAACAACAGAACAGAACACAGAACGAAGAAGACGGAAGTGGCGCACAGTTCCTTCTGTTCCCTCTCTTCCAAAGAATGGAATGTCAACACACAGAGCATGTGATCCAGTAGTCCCACACACTCTGCAGCACGGGAGAGAATGAAACTCCCGACATCCAGCACCCCCTTCTCTGCTACTCTTGAACTCTTTGACTGTAACCCTGTACAATCTTTTTTCAAAGAGGGCCAGATTTGATGAAGTGAAGGGCCGTGAGGGCCGCCGAAACAGCCAACCCAAGTTGTTAACCTTTTTTTAGGGTTGAATTTGTTGAGGGTTTGTTTTTTTTAGGATTTTACCCCAGGAAATAAATAAACTGCCACAGGGGCCGGATTAAACTGACCGGTGGGCTGGATTAGGCCCCCCAAATGGACTTTGGACATGCCTGATAAGCGCACAAACAAGATGTAGCGTGTGCACCATTTCATGTTTTACTGGAAAACGTTAGGTGACTGTTAACTGGTAGGCAGGGCCTTGGGGGCAAACCCCCCTTGAATCTGACTTATGACTTCAGCAGTGAGACTACAGAGTGACAGTGTCATCATAATTTCACCATGGCAACCAACTGCTTCATTTCCACTTACTTGAAAGAGAGGTCATTGAGTATTTATTTTTAAGTTTTCCATAACTGAACACGTGGCCACTTTCTTTCCCTTGGAAATTGACTTGATGATCCACAGTTACCAAGCATCTAAGAATATAGAAAAGAGCATCCTGATCAGAGGTCAAGTGGGAACCTTGGCACCTCTTACTTAAGCTTTCAAGAAATATGTCTTCTTATGTCACAGATGGGTGATAGCAACCTCAATGAGCCTCCCCACGTAAATGCCAATTCTCCAAGCATCCATATAAATGCTGCCTCTCAGAAATAAAGATCTGCTCATGATCAGATCTCAAAACACAATTCCCTTCTTTTCTCTTCTATTTATTCTGGAGTAAGTCACAACTAAGCCCACTAAAGTTAATGACGCTTGACCAAGCGCTTATCAGGCATGTCCAAAGTCCGTTTTGGGGGCCTAATCCAGCCCACTGGTCAGTTTAATCCGGCCCCTGTGGCAGTTTATTTATTTCCTGGGGTAAAATCCTAAAAAAAAAAAAAAACCCTCAACAAATTCAACCCTAAAAAAACCTACCCCTACCACTACCCCTAATCCTACCCCTAATCCTAACCTTGCAGTTTTTGCACAGGTCGGTTTAATCCGGCCGCTGTGGCAGTTTATTTACAGTACTGGGACTTCCAAGAGAGATCCTTGCAGCACTGCTGCACCCATGTCTACTTGGAAGTAAGTCCTACTGAATTCAGTGGGGCTTCCTCCCATGTAGGTGGGATTGTAGCCTTTGCCATTTTTTGAGAGAGCTGCCTGTGGTGCCAAGTAATTAAAAATAAGAATAAATGACTAAAACAATATCCTTGTGTCTGAATAGCAAGCTCGTGGCTGCTTAGGCTTCTGCCAATGTAGCGGTCCTCTTCTGATCTCCCTACAGTGAAAGGCACACCAGCCAGTGAGCGCTTGGTAGGCAGGGCAGAGGAGTCAGACCCTTAAGTCAGGGACACTGAGAACTTCAAATGTTTTTGTTCCTTCCTCGGAAAGGGAGAAATGGCTACCAAATAAAAATAAATTGGAAAAAACATACTCAAAGAAACTGCAAGTATATATTTCAGATAAGAGATGCAGAAAAATAGAAAAATGACACAGTGCTGAAATGGTTTCAAAATTTCTGTTTTTGGAGTGCATTATGTGACTTTCTGAAACTTGCAGCATTTCTTGGAGTGCTACATTAAAAGTATTCTCTTGGAAGTCTTCCTTTGTAACATAAGAAAGCTGACTGGATCAGGCCAGTGGCCCAGGTTCAGCATCCCATTCTCACAGATGCCTGTGCAAAAACTGCAAGCAGAATCTGACCACAACAGCCCTCGTGATTCTCAGGAACTGATATGCAGAAATATGCCGCCTCTGAACCTGGAGGTAGTATGTATCCATCACACAAGTTGGGCATGAGCACAATAGTGCTCATTTCAATGCAGCCACTACATATGACTCCTCCACAGTATGTTAAAATTGTTACTAAAATCACCCCCCCCTTACTGTACCTAAAGCAAATTTGTGGAGGTGACCACAACAGCCCTCGTGATTCTCAGGAACTCATATGCAGAAATATGCCGCCTCTGAACCTGGAGGTAGTATGTATCCATCACTTGACACATCGCTGAGTTCACATGGCATCCACCTGGCTCCCCCTGCCCCCGAGAATCTGGGAGCCATAGTTTGGGTCATTGGGTTTGGTGCTTTTGTAACTGGATTTAGAATGTTTTTTAGTCAAATACAGTAAATGATTGATTGATTGACTGATGAAAAGGTGTTATTTTCCTGAGATGCTAACTTTCTCTCTGCATGTCATTCCTTCAACAGCTTCCTGTGCAAAGATAGGGCTTGCTTTCATTGCACTGTTCATTTGTGTGTTGGACTAGTGTTGTGTGGAGGGAAATGTAACTACTGGGCTGAAAAATGTCCCCCTCCTGCCCCTTTGGGTTTCCGGTGTGGCCTTCACAGATATTGGCAAAACTTTTGTGTGTGTGTGTGTGTGTGTGTTTTGGCTGCTGAGCTGCACTCACCATTGTGAGGGCTGAGGGAGTGATGGTGATGCCTCCCCAGCTGCTGCCATTGTCCGTGGGTTGCTTGTGATGTGACAAAAACATTTGGCTGCTGAGCGGATATAAATGTGGGCCAAGGCGCAAGCCTCAGCAGTTGCCCTCCGCAGAGAGAAATGGGCAGCTCAGTGGCACTCAGCCCAGGTGGTCTCCTGTCCCATGGCGGCAAGCTGGCAAGCGGAAGGAGGCAATTGCCCGGTGCTGGGATGCTGTGGCCCTGGTGGTCTCCTGCCCTGTGGTGGCAAGCTGGCAAGCGGAAGGAGGCAATGGCCTGGCTCTGGGATGATGTGGAGCAAGGAGAAGGCAAGTACAAAGATTACTTGCTGGTGGGATCACTACTTGAAGGTGACTGACACTCAGCTCTGAAGCTGGTTGATGTCTGGCAATGGACCTGATGAGGCTGCAGCTGGTGGATGGTTGTCTGAAGAATTTGCATTCAGGCTAGTGGATGCCGTGAGGCTACGCTGGCTGAGATGGGTGCAAACTGGTTTGGAAGCCTTGTTTGTGAACAGGCAGCCAAACAGAGGAGGAATCTGGGGGGACGCTGTCGGGTGTGAGCCATCCCACTCACCTGTTTGCCTTTGCCTTACAGGGATGTCTGGAGCCGGTGAGGTTTTGCCCAAGTCCAGTCTTAGAAGTCATCAAGAGAACCGCAGGACATCCCTATTGACATCGGAGAAGTTAACGTGAAATACTGGCAGTGAGGAATGGACAAGGCCGTGGCCATACTTGAGAGAAGGAGCTTTGAAGGGAGACTGCAGGCGGACATCTGCTGCACTGCAAGGGATGGGGCAGTGGGGAGAGAGAAGAAAATGAGGGAGGCAACATTAGGCCACATTAGGTGCACCATTGGAAGTGCTATGAATACGCTTTAAACAGGCATGGCTTCCCCTCAGGGATTCTGGGAACTGTAGGTGGTTAAGGGGACGGAGACTTGTTACGGTGTTAAGTATTAGGATTAGGATTAGGGGTAGGGGTGGGGGTAGGGTTCCCTTCTAGTAGCTCTAGTTAAGGGTTAGAGTTAGGGTTAGGGTTAGCGTCAGGGGCAGGGGCAGGGGTAGGGTTGGGGTTCCCTTGTTAGGGAACTCTGGGAATTGTAGCTCTAGTTAGGGGCAGGGTTAGGGTTAGGGTTCCCTTTTTGCCAGGGAACTCTGGGAATTGTAGCTCTAGTTAGGGGGCAGGGTTAGGGTTAGGGTTCCCTTTTTGCCAGGGAACTCTGGGAATTGTAGCTGTAGTTAGGGGGCAGGGTTAGGGTTAGGGTTCCCTTTTTGCCAGGGAACTCTGGGAATTGTAGCTGTAGTTAGGGGGCAGGGTTAGGGTTCCCTTCTTGCCAGGGAACTCTGGGAATTGTAGCTCTAGTTAAGGCTCAAGGGTTAGCGTTAGGGTTAGCGTCAGGGGTGGGGGTAGGGGTCGAGGTAGGGGTAGAGGTAAGGTTCCCTTTTTGGCAGGGAACGGGGTCCCCTAACAACTCTTGGCACCCTTTTCCAACTATAGCTCCCAGAGTCTTTGGGGGTGTTTAAGCCATGAGTGTTTAAAGCGGCTTCATAGCGCGTTAAATAGTGTGGATGTGGCCGTGGCCTCCCTCACCCCACTGCCTCTTATTAATGAAGAATCAAAAGGATTTCCCAATTCAAATCTCTCAGAAACAGGAAACAGAAAGAAGAAAGACTTTGTATCTCAAGCCACTTTGCCTTATAGGGATGTCTGGAGCCGGTGAGGTTTTCCCCATATCCAGTCTTAAAAGTCATCAAGAGAACCGCAGGGCATCCTTATTTACATCGGAGAAGTTAACGTGAAATACTTGCAGCGAGGAATGGACAAGGCTGTGGCCATACTTGAGAGAAGGAGCTTTGAAGGGAGACTGCAGGCGGACATCTGCTGCATTGCAAGTGATGGGGCAGTGGGGAGAGAGAAGAAAATGAGGGAGGCAACATTAGGCCACATTAGGTGCACCACTTAACTGCTATGAAGTCACTTTAAACAGGCATGGCTTCCCCTCAGGGATTCTGGGAACTGTAGGTGGTTAAGGGCACGGAGACTTGTTACGGTGTTAAGTATTAGGATTAGGATTAGGGGTAGGATTAGGGGTAGGGGTGGGGGTAGGGTTCCCTTCTTGTAGCTCTAGTTAAGGGTTAAGGGTTAGAGTTAGGGTTAGCGTCAGGGGCAGGGGTAGGGTTGGGGTTCCCTTGTTAGGGAACTCTGGGAATTGTAGCTCTAGTTAGGGGGCAGGGTTAGGGTTAGGGTTCCCTTCTTGCCAGGGAACTCTGGGAATTGTAGCTCTAGTTAAGGCTCAAGGGTTAGAGTTAGGGTTAGCGTCAGGGGTGGGGGTAGGGGTAGAGGTAGGGTTCCCTTCTTGGCAGGGAACGGGGTCCCCTAACAACTCTTGGCACCCTTTTCCAACTATAGCTCCCAGAGTCTTTGGGGGTGTTTAAGCCATGAGTGTTTAAAGCGGCTTCATAGCGCGTTAAATGGTGTGGATGTGGCCCTGGCCTCCCTCACCCCACTGCCTCTTATTAATGAAGAATCAAAAGGATTTCCCAATTCAAATCTCTCAGAAACAGGAAAGAGAAAGAAGAAAGACTTTGTATCTCAAGCCATTTTGGAAGGTCTTAACTTGAAATGCCAATAAAGATATTTTTATTGTATTGTGTTGTATAGTGTTGTGATTAACATGGGAAGTAGGGTGGTATAGTAGGCATTTTGCACTCACCTGAACCCTTGCAGGGAAAGGGGCAAGGCACAATGGGAAAGGGTGGGGCAACCGGGCTGCTTAAACCACACCCCTTTTCCAACGGAAGCACCATGGGGGGTGGGCCGTCTGAGAGAGAACAACAGAACAGAACATAGAACAAAGAAGACGGAAGTGGCGCACAGTTCCTTCTGTTCCCTCGCTTCCAAAGAATGGAATGTCAACACACAGAGCATGTGATCCAGTAGTCCCACACCCTCTGCAGCATGGGAGAGAATGAAACTCCGGACATCCAGCACCCCCTTCTCTTGAACTCTTTGACATTAACCCTTCAGTGGTATCCAAACTTTTTTCAAAGAGGGCCAGATTTGATGAAGTGAAGGGGCATGAGGGCCGACCTAAGTTGTTAACCTTTCTTTAGGATTGAAGTTGTTGAGGTTTTCAAAGACTGGCTGCATTATTATCAAATAATGGAGGCTTATAAGTTGGACAGGAAAATTGGCTTCCAGGTGGAAAAATCAAAATTGGAAACAGAACTGTTAGAATCCAAAACTAAGAATTTGTCAGAAATGTATAACTTGCTGCTAAAATGGAACACTCAGGATGAAACGGTTAAATCAGCTATGATCAAGTGGGCACAAGATATTGGTCATAACATTATGTTTGCTGATTGGGAGCAGTTGTGGACCACCGGTATGAAATTTACGGCATGCAATGCCTTAAAAGAAAATATTATGAAAATGATTTATAGGTGGTACATGACCCCAGTCAAGCTTGCAAAAATTTACCACTTGTCTGATAATAAATGCTGGAAATGTAAAGAGACTGAAGGTACATTCTTTCACCTTTGGTGGACATGCCCAAGGATTAAGGCTTTCTGGGAAATGATATATAATGAAATGAAAAAGGTATTTAAATATACCTTCTTGAAGAAACCAGAGGCTTTTCTCCTGGGTATGGTCGGCCAATTGGTGCCAAAGAAGGATAGAACATTCTTTATGTATGCTACAACAGCAGCAAGAATACTCATTGCAAAGTATTGGAAGACACAAGATTTACCCACCATGGAAGAATGGCAGATGAAGGTGATAGACTATATGGGACTGGCAGAAACGACTGGCAGAATCCGTGACCAGGGAAGAGAGACGGTGGAAGAAGATTGGAAGAAATTTAAAGACTATCTCAGGAAACATTGCAAAATTAATGAATGATAGAACGATGTTGATTTTGGTTTTCAGCTGTAATGATTAAGTAAAAAGAAAAGAAAGGTAAAAAATTAAACAAAAATTAAGGAAGAGGATTTGCTGAACTAATGAATTAGAAATTGGAATACAGAAAGGGGAGGTATGAGGAGGTCGGGGAAGTAAGTTATAAGAAAATAAGGGACTGAAATTATACTTGTTTTGTTTGTGTTTTGTTTGTATTATTGTTTTTTCTTTTTGTACAACTTTTGAAACTTTAATAAAAATATTTTTTAAAAAAAAGTTGTTGAGGTTTTTTAGGATTTTACGCCAGGAAATAAACTGCCATGGCTTAAACTGGATTAAACCGGCCGGCTGGCTAGATTAGGCCCCCAAAACAGACTTTGGACATGCCTGGTCTAAGTACTGTAGGGGAGGAGTCAAATGGGGCAGTTCTTGCATAGCCCCAGGGGCAGGGACCAATCTTTCACCTCTTAATTACCTCCCCTCCATTCTGTACATATGTGCCAACTCCTTTGCGCTGAGATGTCTTCCACCCTCTCAATATTATTTAGCAGGTGGCTCAGCCTTCCCAATATTTGAAGGGGCAGAGGAGGCCAAGCGAGTGTTGAGCCACATGTGGTGCAACTTCAGTGGCAGGCTCTTCCTGAGTGTGAGAGAGGAGGAGCCACAGTCATTGTTGCTGGCCTAGGCACTCAGGTTCCTCGTGACGATGCGTGCACAATGTCACACATGTGACACGATACCAGGTCCCCCAGTCTTGGGCTGAAGCCAGCGCCTCCTACAAAAGATTATGTTGCATTGGACAAGGAAACAAGCCACGGAGTGATAGACTGAGTATAACACCAAAATTACTCATTAGGCTAGTAGGATGGACACTTGGCACCACAAATGTCACCTCCTAGGCCCTGCACACTTGACCTCATAGGTGCCCCCACCAGGTCTAGGTTCTACCAGCCTCCATTGGTTGGAGTTATTAGGCACGGATCAGGAGGGAATGTCAGCTATGAGCTAAATAGATGCCATAGTCTTAGCCTTCAAAAATGTTTTAAATGTAAAATATCTCTTTGTTCTCGTCAAAAGAATGCTTTTAATATGATAATAGTGACACCACTGCTCAATTTGCCTCTTTCCTGTTGAAAATTCCAACAGATCCGAATGCATCCTTTTTATTATACCTGTTAAAATGATTTATTGTAAGGAAATGAAATGTTAATGATTGGTATAAAGATGCAATTTTATGCAGGCATACAATAGTGTAATGTAGATATCTTCAAATGTCAACCAAGGAGTAGGGAACGGGAATAGATAGACATATGATAGATAATTGTTTGTTTCCCCCCTCCCCATTATTGTGAACTGACAGAGTTTGTTTCTTTTGTTAAAAAAAAAAAAGTTTTACTGTTGAAATGTTATTTTTTTACAACTTTAAGGTGATGACTGATTAACACAAGCCTAAAATTGGTGCTGATTTTGTTTGTAAAGTTCAAACTTTGTTTGGCTGACTTTTGAATTATGATGTTGCATCCCAGGTTGAGGGACCTGAAAAACCTAGGTCTTCAAAGCCAATTGCAATGTAGCCAATGACAAAGTGTAGCACAGGCAGACTTGAGACTGGTTTTATTCTATTAAAACTTCCTCCCAGAGGAGCCCAGGGTGGGAAACAACAAATACAACATCTAAAAAAATCTCTTTTAAAAATTCCAATACAGATCCAAGCTAGGAG